AGGGTTATTTTATAGGTTTAGGTCCGTCGTGAGGCCAGCTCACGTTTGTAGGTTCTCTGTTGTACCACCTTTGTATGTTTCCCATTTTTCCCATGCTATTTCCCAGTGCCTCCGGCGCTTATTATGTGGTTTGTTGGGAGGCGTGTTTTGCCGTCTCATTATGGTTTCGAAATGGCCCGCCTGGCTAATTTGCTGCATGCACATGGAGATAGAGGGTACAGTCTGTGATAGCCAGTTTTGTGCTAGGGCACCCAGGGCTGCTATATTGATATGGAAGATTAGATACCTGTCTGGCTTAGGTAGCGCTTTAGGAATATTGAAAAGCACGTAATGTTCTAAATTATGAGGCAGGGAGCATCCCGTGCTATTTGTAATGAGTTTGGATATGTCTTTCCAGTATTGTTGTAGGCTGGGGCACGTCCACCATATGTGTGCCATGGTCCCTGTGCCTGATTTGCACCTCCAGCATTGTGTCGGAAGAGATTGGTTGTATTTGTGTAGTCGTATGGGCGTGAGATACCATCTGTATAATAGTTTTTTGGCTAACTCTATATGTCTTGAGCATAAAGAAAAGTTTTTGGGAGTGAGGATCATATATTCCCATTCTTGTTCAGTAAATTTTTTGTGGGTCTCTGTTTCCCATGCTTTGATAAATTTATGTTCATGCAGTTTGTGTTTTGTGGGTAGTGTTGCGTATATGGAGGATATGAGTTTCTGGGGTGGTGTGGGGTTAGTATACATTTCCTCGAATGCTGTCATCCTTTGTGTCTGCGTATTGATTGTTTTCTCCTGGATTTGTATGCGTAGCCATGAATCTAATTGGCGGTATGAATAGTGTGCTACTATCGGTAGCTTATGGGAGTTTTGTAATGAGGCAAAGGTCGTTAGGCCCGTGTTGGTGATTATCTGATGTAGGAATTGTATACCATGTCTTTCCCATATTCTGTAGTTAAAATCCGGGATAATGAGCGCTAGTGACTTAAGTGGCATGGCTTTAGAGATTGTTGAATTATTTGTTAGGGTGGGTCGGGCTCCATCCCATATTTTTAGTGACAGTGTTGTGGTTGGTAGGCAGTCTTGCAGTTGCGGTCGGTTAGGTTTTGGTATCCACACTAAATTATCAGTGCTAGCATTATCAGTCCATTCTGCTTCTAAGTGTTTCCATTGAGGTGCTTGTGTACCTGGCCGTGCTTGAATGATACTACTTAGTATGGTTGCGTGATAGTATTGTCTCAGGTTTGGCATATTCATACCCCCTTCTTTGAGCGGTAATTGCAATACCTTTAGGGCTATACGTGCCTTTTTGTCATTCCATACAAATCTGGTTATCCAGCGTTGGATTGTGGCTAAATACGTGGCAGGTATATGAATCATTAGTGATCTGAATAGGTATAACAACTTGGGGAGAATTATCATCTTGATCGCTGCCATGCGACCCGACCAGGATATGAATGATGTTTTCCATTCTTGTAGTTGTTTTTTTATTTCTATACTGAGTTTGCCATAATTGGCATTGAATAGTGCGGTGTGCGATTTTGTAAAACGTATTCCTAGAAATGTGATGTAGTCAGTTCTCCAGTCGTATGAGTAGGTGTTTTTTAATTTATGGGTGATATCTGGGGGGAGTCCTTTACAAAGTACTTGCGTTTTAGAAATATTCAGTTTGTAATAAGACATTTCACTGTATTTTTCTAGTATGGAGTGGAAGTGTGGTAGGGAGGCTTCTGGATCTTGTATCGTCAGTAATACATCATCTGCAAATAGTGTGAGTTTATGTTCTTTGCTTTTTGTTTTGACGCCTAGGATTGATGGTTGTTGTCTAATGAGGGTTGTGAGAGGTTCTAACGCTAAGACATATAACAGGGGTGAGAGGGGGCATCCCTGTCTGGTCCCATTCGTGATTGCGAACGGATCCGAGAGGAACCCTGCGTTAGTGAGTCTGGCAGTGGGGTTACTATAGAGAGCCCGTATAGTGTTCATAAACGCTAATGGGAATCCAAATTTCGCTAAGGTCGCTCTAAGAAAGTCCCAATTCAGCCTATCAAAAGCCTTTTCGGCATCAAGCGACATGAATAGGCATCCCGTTTTCCGTTTATGTGTGCTATATAGTATGTCTAAAACTTTCCTAGTGCCGTCCGTGCCTTGCCTTCCTTTTATAAAGCCTACTTGGTCTTCATGGATTAGGTCTGGGAGCATGGCGGCTAATCTATTTGAAAATATTTTCGCCAGTAATTTAATATCCGTGTTAAGAAGTGAAATGGGGCGCAAGTTCTGTCCTCTGTCTGGCGTCTTCCCCGGTTTAGGCAGTGTGGCCACATGGGCTATGAGCATTTCCTGTGGGATTGTCCCTGTGTGTATTATGGATTGGAAGGTTTGTCTCATGTGAGGAACGAGTATGGGAGCAAAAGTTTTGTAATATTGATTCGTGAATCCGTCTGGGCCCGGAGATTTCCCCGTGGGTAGTTTGGTTATAGCGTCTGTCAGTTCGGGTATCGAGATTTGTTCCGACAGTTTGTGTTTTTGTTCGTCTGTCAGTGTTGGCAATGATATCTGTTGGAGGTATCCCTCAATTTCTGTAACAGTTGGTTGGTATAGGGTATTATCTTCCTTCAGATTATAGAGGGTGTTATAGAAGGTCACTAGTTCTTTATTCATGTCTTGCGGGTTCCATAGTTTTTGGTTACCCTTTGTGAGGATGTATGGGATCTTAGCATTGGATTGCTTTTTGCGTAACATGTTGGCCAGTAGTTTACTAGCTTTATTCCCTTTCGCATAGTGGGTCATCTTAAATTTTTTCAGGATGTATGCCGTTTTTTGGAATTGGTGTTCCTTAATTTTGGCAGTGATGGTTTGGATTTCCAGTAGGAGATCCTGTTGTTTTGATTGGTAATACGTTTGGGTTATATCTCTTAGTTGTATGAGCAGTTTCATAAGGGTTGTTCGCCTTTGCTTATTAAGGTAAGATGCCCTACGGATCATCAGTCCTCGCATGACTGATTTATGTGCTTGCCACAGGGTCGGGGCCGTGATCTGGGGGTTCTCGTTAGTAGTGAAGTAGTGTTTAAGTTCTTGTTCTAGTGTAAGAATGAAGTCTCGATCATGGAGCAGTGAGTTGTTTAGTCTCCATGAGCCTTTGCCTTTGTACGTGAATGCGTCAGTGAGTGTCAGTATCACTGGGGCATGGTCCGACCATGTTATGTCGCCGTGTATGCATTGATGTGTGTGTGGTAAACCTGTGTTAGTCACGAAAAAGTGATCTATCCTAGAGTGAGTTTTGTGCACTTGAGAGTAATAGGTGTAGTCCTTATCTCCTGGGTGTAGTGTGCGCCATACATCGTATAAATTAAATTGAATAAGCAGTTGATTAAGTTTGGTGCAGGCCGATCTGAGTGATGTCGATCTGGGTTTATTTGCATCTAGTGTGGTGTCCATTTCTGGGTCTAGAGTGTGGTTTAAGTCCCCACAGTATATCAATATGCCTTGTTGTATATTGCTCACTTTAGTCAGTATTTTTTGTAGGAAGTGCCATTGATTGTCGTTTGGTGCATAAATGTTGACTATTGTGTATGTGACATCATTAAGGTTACATATTAGTATGAGATATCTCCCATTGGTGTCTTTAACTATTTTGAGAGGTTCGAATGCAACTGATTTGTGTATGAGAATACTGACTCCCCTAGATTTGTGGCTGTATGTAGAATGGTATTGGTTTGGAAATTGTTTAAGGTCCATGGATGGAGGTGTCTGCCTTTTGAAGTGGGTTTCTTGTAGACAGATCACATCCGCGTTGTGGTTTTTTAATTCCGTGCGCAGTGTTTGGCGTTTTTGGGGGGAATTTAGACCCCTAACGTTATGTGAATATATTTTCATTATGGGGTTGGGTAGATTTGAGTTCTTTGTCAGTCGTTGGGTAGTATAGTGTAAGGTTTGGTGAGAGTTTGCCTCGGTATGCTGTTCGTGATATGTGCCTGTTGATGGGCAATGTGTAGGCTATTGGTTTAATATGCATAGTTTTGGGTATAGTGGGTTTGAGAATCTTCTCATGGTTTGCAACTAGGGGTGAGGGTTGGAGGGGTAGAAACTTGAGTCTCATAGAGAGCTCAACTATATACATCAATGCCCAGATGTAGGGCTCGGTACTTCTTGGTAGTACCTGGGGTGTGGTGAGCATGTACTTTCTGCTCACGAAGGAGGCTACTTGGGCTCCTTCATTGAATAAATTTATCATATGCCCCGAAATAATTGCCAGGCTCGTATCCCCTTTTTTTTTTTTTTTTTGTTATAAAATCTAATATGCTCTTGTAGTATGCAAATGTTCTTCTAACTGACATCCAATTGTGGGTTTGGTGCTTTATCGTGGTGGTAGTGCTGAGGTGGGGGAGAGTGCAAGCACGCTTTTTTTTTTTTTTTTTTTTTCAGTTCCATGTTGTCATACCTTGGTGTTCACTGCAGTGTGGTGAAAAGAGCTGCTGCTGCTCCTTGTATTGCAGGTGTTAGTTCGCCTGTGTTACGGAGTTAAGTTCTGGAGTATGTTGGTTGGCGTGTCCCCACTCCCCTCCCGACCCCCTTCCCCGCCTGTCTTTAATATACATGGATTGAGTGACAATATTAATAGCACTTATACGTTGTATTTTTTATTTTTTTTTATTTTTTTATTTCAGTGTAATAGTCCTAGATATTCAGTGTAGCCAGTTGTGCGTCTGCATATTGTCATTTCCAGCCCGTTAGGGTCAGTAGGTTAACCATAACCCTGTTGTCTTGGATGTGGGTTAACGGGTGTGCGTGCACAGTTAAATAGGGGTAAATCTAAGCCAGATGTGGTCTACTTTTGGCATTCCGGGGTTCAGGTGTGTTTTGGCGTATTTGTAAGCGTTATCTGTGTATGTAAGTTGTGCGGGTTTAGGTGTCACAGAATTAACAAAAATAACATAAACATTGGGTTCATTATATACATTACCAGCCTCTACTTGCAATATCTTATTAGCAGTCCAAATTGGCTGGTATAAGTCTATTGTATTATGCTTTCCGCCATTCGCGATGCAGCGTGGCGGTTTCTCTCGTCTGTTTGCTTGGTGTGGGTAGGTTCCATTCCTGGAGAAGCTTTTCTCCGTCTTCTGGCGATGTCAGTATCTTCGTCGCGCCGCCTTTAGTGATGAGAAGCTTGAGGGGGTAACCCCACCGGTATGCTATTTGTTGCTGTCTGAGGATGGTGGTGATGGGTTGGAAGGCTTTCCTCTTTCTCAGCGTCGCCGCGGATAAGTCCGGGAATATCTTTATGCCAGCATATTTGCTAGGTGCATCCTTATTGGTTCTGCTCTGTCGTAATATTATTTCTTTGATGTGGTGGTAGTGGGCACACAGGATGACATCCCTGGGGACCGAGGATGGTAGGTGTGAAGGTTTGGGTATCCTGTGTACCCTATCCAAGAGGAGCATGTCTGACGGTGTGTCTGGCGAGAGCGCGTGGAAGAATTCATGCACGTAAGCCTGGAGGTCCGCAGGGGCCACCGTTTCTGGTATGCCCCGCAGTCTTAAGTTATTCCTCCTCGCCCTATCTTCCATATCCATGAGTTTGTTCTCCATTGTGGATATTGTGGCTTGAAGTGTGTTCACCTGGTCTGTTAGGTGGTTGTGTGCCTCTTGTGTTTCCTCCAATCTCTCCTCCACGTGGGAGGTTCTCGTTCCCAGCTCCACTATATCTTTTTTCAGACTTGATAGTCCTGCTTCCCAGCCAGCCATCATTTTGCTTGAGAATATACCCAGCTGTTCTAAGAGGAATTGCTTGGTGACCGGCTCCTCCATAGCCTGGTCAGCCGGGTCGGTGGAGAGGTTGCCGTCGTGAGTTTCCTCTCCGCCATCTTGTTGGTGCTGCTGGCTCGCGTGTTTGCTCAGCGCCGCATTTTGACCAAAAAAGTTTTGCTTTTCGGTTTTGGTAGCTTGCCGTTTCTGTTTTGGTTGTGACATAGTAGTTTTCTGTTTGTCAGGGTCTTTTATTTCGGGTGTTGAGACGCCTTTATCGGAGCCCATGTGCAGGAGCTAAGAATTACACGTCCATCTTTCTCCGCCTGTAGCCACGCCCCCTACATTTTCCACTTTTATCTGCCATTTGAGTGCCCAGTCCCCCAATCTATCTAAATCCCTCTGCAGCAAAGCAATATCTTGCTCATATTGTATTACTTTACAGAGTTTTGTGTCATCTGCAAACACCGAAACATGGCTTTCAATGCTTATTTCAAGATCATTTATAAAAATGTTAAATAGAATCGGATCCTAAACAGAACCCTGAGGGACACCATTTCCCACTTTTGTGCAGCTTGGAAATGTACCATTAATTACAACTCTCTCTACTCTATCTTTACACCTATGTTTTACCCAAGAACAAGAATTTTAATCTAGACAAATTTATTTTAGTTTGCAGACTAACCTATTGTGAGGAACCATATCAAACACCTTGGCAAAGTCCAAAAAGATTTCATCCACTGCAACACCCTGATCTATACTTCTGCTTACGTCTTTGTAGAATGCAATTAGGTTAGTTTGACATGACCTATGTTTCATAAAACCATGCTGATTATTGCTAGTAATGCTCTTAACAAGAAATTCCTGAATATTATCCCTCAATAACCCTTCAAATACTTTCCCAGCCACAGAGGTTAAGCTCACAGGTCTATAATTTTCAGGCAAAGATTTAAAACCCTTTTTGAATATAAGGATGGCATCTCCCTTACTCCAATCCTCCGGCACAATTCCTGAAAGAAAATAATCTTGAAAGATTAAAAACAGAGGTTCACTCATTTCCACACTTGGCTCCTTAAGTACTCAAGGGTGAATACTGTCATGAACTTTTTTTTAGCTGTTTAACACCTTGTCTTGAGTCATCCAATCACAATTCTGCCGTAAGTTTTTTTTCAGCAAACATTTGCATATCTCTTCCCATAGGTTCCTTACTCCTTCATACATACTGAGGAAAGATAGTTGTTTAATAAGTCTGCCTTTTCGTGGTCTTCATTAACTAACATATCAATCTCTGTTTTCAGTGTACCTACACTTTCATTTATTTTATTTTATTAAATTTATGTACTTAAAAAATGTTTTGGGGTTGATTTTGTTCTCTTTGGTTATCAATTTCCCATTTTGTTTAGTTTAGCTACTCTAATTGTCTTTTTTGCATGGATATTGGCTTCTTTATAATCTATATAGGATTCCTCTGATAATATTTCCCAATAAGCCACATTGGTTTTAATTTGTTTCTTTTATATTTATTACCCAACGGTACATAAATGTACCTTTCTAATATTTGTTTGAAAATATATTCCATTTATCATCAGTGTTTTTTTTTTTTCAATAAAGAGTTTATGCTAGTCAATATGTTGTAAAGCTGCCTTTATCTTATTGAAATCGGCCCTTTAAAAGTATATGTTTTAGTATCTCCATGCTTTAGTTTTTTTTAGTTTATTTCAAGACACCATACTGTGATCACCATTTCCCAAGTGCTCTCCTACATGAATGTTGGTCAAAAGATCAACATTGTTTGTATAACCAGATTCAGACAAGCATCCTTTCTAGTTGGTGCTTGTACCAGTTGTGACATGAAGGTGTCATTTAACACGTTCAAAAACCTGATTCCCCTTGCTGAACAACTATCCCAATTTATGTCCGGGTAATAAAAATCTCTAATAATTAACGTGTTACCCAGATGTGCAGCTTTCCCAATTTGCTCTAACAGCTGTTCTTTCTCATCAATGTCAACATTAGGTGGTTTATAACACATCCCAATCAATAATTGATTTCCCTTCTTTTGCCCCAAGCAGATAACCCATAATGTTTCCACGTAGTTGATGTCACATTCCACTTGCTTAAGATTTAGCTTTACATTTTCTAACCTTCCTAAATATTGTGTAACCATTTAATGTAACTGCCCAGTCATGCATCGCATCCTACCATGCAGTGGCGGCTCTAGACTTGGCAGCTCTAGACTTGAAAGGGGAGCTTGCAGTACTGGATATAGAGAACTAATCTTTGTATACATCGTTGCATTGTCTACCTGTGTGTGCCTGAGAGTGTGTGTCTGGCAGTGAGTATCTTTAATATGTATGTATGTTTCTCTGAGCATGTGTATGTTTGTGTACTGCCTGTGGCCTTTGGCACTGAGTTTATGGCGAAGCTATGTTTTATGACGGTGTGTTAAATGATTGCCTTCAGAGGGTGTCAGGGTGAGTAAAGGGGTAACTGTGGCAGGGTGAGTGTAAAAGAGCAGGAGTGTATGGAGGCAGGTGCCAGAGTGCGGAGAGTGGTGCCTGTGTGTTTGGAGGGAGAGACAGTGTGTATGGAGGGGGGTAACAGAGTGTGTGGGGAAAATGACATAGAGGGGATGACATAGTGTAGAGAGGTGGCATAGTGTGAGGGGGGTAACAGAGTAAGAGGGGGGTGCCAGAGTAGAAGGGTGACATTAGTGTGAGAGGGTTACATATGTGTAAGGGGTGTGACAGAGTAAGAGGGAAGAGACAGAGGGGGGTGACAGAGGAGGGGGTGACAGCGTGAGCGGGAGGGTGACAGAGTGAGAGGGAGGGTGACAGAGTGAGAGGGGGATGACAGAGTAAGAGGGGGCGACAGAGTAAGAGGGGGCGACAGGGGGGAGACCTAGTGTGAGGGGGGAGACCTAGTGTGAGGGGGGAGACCTAGTGTGAGGGGGGGAGACCTAGTGTGAGAGGGAGGGTGACATAGTGGAGGGAGGGTGACATAGTGTAAGGGGGGAGACATAGTGTTAGGGGGGGTGACAGGGTGAGAGGAGGTGACAGAATGAGAGAGGGTGACAGTATTAAGGGGTGACAGTGTGAGGTGGGGTGACGGTGTGTGGGACAGGGTAAGGTGACAGAGTAAGGGGGTGACATAGTGTGGGGGGGTCACAGGGTGGGTGACAGACTAAGAGGTGGGGTGACAGGTGAGGTGGCAGGGTGAGAGGAGGTGACAGGGTGAGAGGTGAGGTGAGAGGGTGACAGGTGGGGTGCTTGCAGGGTGACAGGTGGGACCTGGCAGGGTGAGTGACCGGGTCAAATGTGGGATGAAGGGAGGCAGTGAGGGAGGTGACAGGTGGGGTGGCAGGGGTGAGGGAGGCAGGTGAGGGTGACAGGTGGGTGAGGGTGAGAGGGCGTGACAGTATTAGGGGGTGACAGTGTGATGTGGGGTGACAGTGTGTGGGGAGTGACAGGGTGAGGTGACAGAGTAAGGGGGATCACAGGGTGGGTGACAGAGTAAGAGGTGGGGTGACAGGGTGAGAGAGGGGGTGACAGGTGGGGTGGCAGGGTAAGAGGTGGGGTGGCAGGTTGAGAGGGGGTGACAGGGGGGTGACTGGGTGAGAAGAGGAGGCAGGGTGAGGGGGTGACAGGTGGGGTGGCAGGGTGAGAGGGGGTGACAGAGTGAGGGGGGTGGCAGAGTGAGGGGGTGGCAGGGTGAGAGGGAGTGAGGGATGACAGGTGGGGTGGAAGGGGGATGACAGAATGAGAGGTGGGGTGACAGGGTGAGACAGGTGGGGTCACAGTTTCATTAAAACATACATTTATAAAAACATTAGCAGGTGTACAAAAGGCCCTGTCTATGACATCACTTGCTGCTCCAGCCTGGCACAGGTCAGAGTATTTTGGCGGTTGCCATCTTCAAACGGTCATATTTTAAAAACTATACATCCTACAGCAAAGAGCATTATATTGTGAGAATCACAAGACACAGACCTACATTTTGATGCATAGTATGTCTCTGAAATATTATAAATTAAGGTACAGTCACAGTTTAGAAATTGCCCTTCACATTTGAGCTGGCTAGAGTGAAGTTTCAATGAATGTCAATGGACGGCGTGAGTTGCAAACAAATGGTCATATTGTGAAAACTATCAGGACTATGGCTTAGCCGTGGACATTTTTAGTGGCAGCTGGGATAGCTGAACGTTTTGATATAAGATTTGTGTAGGTGGGCTTGAAAATGAGGGAGTGGTGGCAGTTTAGAAATCATGTCCTGATTTTTCAGCTTTTGCCAGCTCCCACTCTAGTTTTGAACATATTGCCATTCATTCCTACGGGACCAATTTTGCCACAAGAATGACGATATTCCGTGAACCATTAGGCAAAACGTTCCACAAAGTAATAGCAATCCAATCGGGAACAATCCGCACGTTTCGGTATATTACTGTCTATGTAGTGTAAAAACTGTGGGAGGAGTTAGGGTGGTAAAGGTCATAATAAGAATAACTAGAAAAGCTACAATTTCTGGGGAAATTGTGTGAAATGTTCTTGCCTCCACCAGTAGTCTGCAACTGGAGTGGGCGGAGTAACTATTATTTATATTTATAGCACATTTAATTGCAACATTGTTGCCCAAGTGCTTCACAGTTACATTAAAACATACATTTATAAAAACATTAGCAGGTGTACAACAGGCCCTGTCTATGACATCACTTGCTGCTCCAGCCTGGCACAGGTCAGAGTATTTTGGCGTTTGCCATCTTCAACCGGTCATATTTTAAAAACTATAAATCCTACAGCGAAGAGCTTTATATTGTGAGAATCACGAGACCCAGAGCTACAGTTTGATGCATAGTATGTCTCTGAAATATTAAAAATGAAGGCACAGTCGCAGTTTAGAAATTGCCCTTCAAGTTTGAGCTGGCTAGAGTGGAGTTTCAATGAATGTCAATGGATGGCGTGAGTTGCAAACAAATGGTCATATTGCGAAAACTATCAGGACTATGGCTTAGCTGTGGACGTTTTTAGTGGCAACAGGGATAGCTGAACGTTTTGATATAAGATTTGTGTAGGTGGGCTTGAAAATAAGGGAGTGGAGGCAGTTTAGAAATCATATCCTGATTTTTCAGCTTTTGCAAGCTCCCACTCTAGTTTTGAACATTTTGCCATTCATTCCTATGGGACCAATTTTGAGACAAGAACAACGATATTCCGTGAACCATTCTGCGAAACGTTCCACAAAGTAATAGCAATCCAATCTGGAACAATCCGCACGTTTCAGTATATTACTGT